GTTAAGGTTTAGATTGGTTGGTTTGCTCACATAGGAAGGTAAGTGTGGGTGCTAGTCACGGCTCAAATTTGGATCATGACATCCTATCACAATGAAAACTAACCAATAAAAACATAATTCATTTTATTAAACATGAATCAAATAATTTTACATTTTATTCGATTGATTTTATATCTACATTCAAATAAATTTTAAAGATGAAAGGTAAATGGTGTGATGAACCGCCGCGTCTTTTCACTTTTTGGGTCAGAGAGCGCCTCCAATAAATAGTTTGATTGGATAAATACCAATTAATCACAAATTTTATCCACTTGCCTCGTTTTTTGCATTATCCATCTCCTTTTAACATACTCTATTATTTTTCTCCTCAAAGAAAAAAAGAACTTGAGCAAACATGAGAAGTCAACAGGATCAACAATCAAAGCTTCTTTATGAGCTTTCTACTTTGATTTTCAATATCCTCCGATCTCCAACTACGCCCTTTGAGTTTTCCGATCAGTCACCGGTTATCCAACGCAGTACACAGTTGCCGACTGTGAGGCCGATGCAGCAGATTACTCCTGCCGGCTTTGCTTCCTTGCTTCTCGGTATTTCTATGGCTTTGATGCTATGTGGATCTGTAACCTTCTTCATTGGATTTTTCATGATGCCTTGGATTATTGTGTTCGTTATGCTTTTGTATCTAGCTGGAATTGTTTCTGTTTTGTCAATGATTGGACGAGCGATTTTCTGCCCTATGTCTTCATCACAATCGCATAGTCAACGTAAGGATTCTTCTCCTCCTCTACAGTTTTTTTTATTATGAGTCTTCTCTCTCTGTTTGCACTTTTTAGTTAATGATTTGGGATTTCCTTACCTGTGCAGTGGTCTTACTTCTTTTGTATGTCTCGCACTTCTTTGCCCTGTTACTTGTGCAGGATTATATGAGCTCTCTTTTGATCTATTGTGAATATTTCATTCATATTTTCTGTTCGTTAGATTGTGTTGACTAGTTTAGAATATAGATCTAGGTTATATTTAAAACTCTTACTATAGTAGTCTAATGATTTAGCAGGTTATTTGCTAGGTATCAGCTCATATAAGTTAAACTCCTTAATGATGAAATCAGGTATTGCTGTATAAGTTTTGATGATTATATACTCGCTTGACACTAGTATGCACTTATGCTAATCGAATCGAAATAGAAATTATGAGATGTTGATAAATTAACTTATAATGCCTTCAGATTGGCTAAAAACAAGTTAAAACTCTTATAAAGGTGCGGAGGTTTGGCCGGGAGAATTGGACAGGAATGAATGTAAAAGCTTTATTTCTCGAAAGAATGAAAATTGGAAGGTGAGGTAGCTTGGTGAGTTCTGTGGGTAATGTTTTGTGGTAGCTCTGATAGTTCTTTTGTTAAGAACTCATAATTTGGATTTGACACTTTTATATATCAGAGTTTTCTCCTTTTACTTTATATTTGTGATTTTGTCAATATGACTTCATTCTTTCTACGGTCTCCTAATTTACTGGTCGCCACAGTTCTTATGCAAATTGGGTTAATATGTTAAAAACCAAAATCACCTCATTAATTTTGGTGCTTTCCAAACTTAAGTTTCAGTTAGTAGGGGTTGGGATTTCTCCAGATAGGATTCAATTGGTTTTTTGGGCTTTCCAATATAGTATTAGCAACTATTTGGCCTGGATTTTCTTGTCCACATATATCAGATCGCCTTATTTTTTTGTTACTTTCGTCAACTTGGCCTCCATTTTTCTTAGGCTTTGCAGTAGCAGAGTTAGTGGAAGCATAAGGAAAATAGTCACAAGAAGATCAACTGCCAAGAGTGGGGAAGGGGATGGGAGTGTTTTCCACTTTGCTAAAGTTCGATTAACTATATCTAGAAAAACAAATGTAGTATATAAGGACAAAGTTTAACTAGACATAACAGAATTTTGTCCATTAAGACTGATTAATAATTTATAACGTTTTTTAAGGTATAAGAACTTATTTTGCATCAAAGAGTTGTAATTTAAGATGGTGGATTGATGATCTTGCATGTCAATGGAATTGAATGAGGGCATGCAGAAATTTTAAACTGCAATTTGTGGAGAACAGGGAACTTGTTTGTGAGGGAGGCGTCACAAACAGTTCTTGGCACCCGTAGTCGTATATTCTCAGCATTTACATTCTACCTATATGAGAAGACAACCAAATTTTAAGTCTCTCATTGACAAGCTATGTAGTCAGTACAATCAGCTTATGGAATCATCGGTTGCTTTAACTGTTTAAGATTTATAACTTATATCTAAATTTGTAAGGGGACTTCACTACAGCTCATTAGCTTCTACCCGTCAAAGAAAATAGTATGGTAGAGATATCAGCTTTGTTTGTTCCTCCGTTCAATCAGTCTAGCTGTACAAGTGTGCTGTTTTCCTTCATGTGGTGATGTTAAGATGCTGGTGTGGTGATAGTTCAGTTCTTGTGATATCTCATGTTTCATATCTCTATTGGCTCTTGTATATTTGTAGTTTTATGTTTCTTCTGAATGATTGATGTGACGATGTTGAGATTCTCATGTCGCGCAAAGATGTATTTTCCAGTTTTATGTGATTTTCCATGTTTCATACTCGTCTCTTTTGGCTCATTTGTTTGTATTCTGTATTGCAGCGTGTAAAATATTGTGAAACAATTTAAACAATTGTACTGGCACAGAACAACGGTGAGGAGTATGGTCGTACTCTTTACTAGATGCAGTTTCCTGCAATGTTTAAAGAGTGTATGGAGGATGAATACATTGCATGCTGGTGTTTGTTGCTGGAGGACACAGCTTAGGCATTTGAAAGTGAAAATATTTGATTAGCTACAACTTTACTGTATAGAAAGACACAAAATGGATGTGCCATGTTATTTTATCTTAGTGCAACTATGTTGTATTTCTTGTGCCATTACACATGTAGAAACAACACCCCACCCCCACCACGTCCCGAGTGATATTGCAACTACAATCAAAGCTTGATTAGTATTTCCCTGATATATGATCATGCCCATTGGAACAATATTTGAACTTGAAAACTCACTATCTGCTATTGCATATTCTATTTTTGTAACAAAAGCCACATATTAACTATGGTGTATGTTATTGATTTTTTCAGTTTTGGAACAGTTTTTTTTTTAGAAAATAGGTTCATTATAAATGAGAGATATTACTTTTCTAGCAGTAGGGAAACAAATCACAAGTAGCATTTCGTATCTACTTATTACCTATATCTTTTGCTTTTACTGATGTCGCGACGTATTAGCAAGAAAAATGTATACATTAACTTGGTGTATAGTACCTCATATTTTTTTTTTCATGTATAGCTAATTTTTGCATGAGCTTAAAATAATTATTTTTTAAAATTGAGTGTGTAGTTTGGTTTTTGATGTAGAATTAGGGTGTAAATGATTTTCAGCCTAATTCTTAAAAAGTCATACCTAACAACTCATTTAATACTATGACCAGAGGAAGCCAATTTTGAATCGTTATCCCGATAGCTTTTATTCTCTTATGTTACACTTTTTAAAAATTAAATTGATCAATTCTCAAAGTTAAATTAAATTATATTAATTTGATATATTAATTAAAAAATTAATTATATAAAAAATGATACGAAAAGTATTATAAACCACATACATATTAATATAATAATAAAAATACATCATATAATGTTAGTCAATGTTATTATAATCTGACTCTAAAAAAATAATTATGACAATTAAAAATGGACGAAAATCACTCTTTCGGTTTCTATTAAAAGTATAAGAATGAATGATCATTTACGTGCGTGCACTTGAATGATCATTTACGTGCGTGCATTTGTTTGCCCAAGATTGGAATTAAGAAGTAAAATGTATACTCTTAGTTTCATATTAGTTCACTATCTTTTTTTAGTGCAACTTTCACATATAACAAATAAAAAATTTAAATTTGTATGTTATAGCAAAATTTATATAATTGTGCTCCATAACAAGCATAAAAACTGTATAATTCGTTATACATATACAGTTGAAGCAAATTGTATAAAACGAAGTGTATAAAACAAGAAAGAAAAAGATACTTGCGCAGAGAATTGTATAAAAACGAAGTGTATAAAACGAATTGTATTATTATAAGTGTATAGAACGATTATATACAATTTGAATTTGTATAAAATGAGAAAGAGAGAAAGACAAAAGAAATTTGACAAGGAATATATAATTGAATCGAGTTGTATAAAACGAGAAAGAGAGAAATTGGATACAATTTGAAAACTGTATAAAATGAGAAAGAGAGAAAGACAAAAGAAACTGGGCAGAAGAGTATTTTTATTGTATAATTATAAGTGTATAGGACGAAAATATATGTACTTGCATGTGTATATACACTTTTTTCACGCTTTATACAAACATAAACACAATTCATACATTTCGCTTGTGTTTGTATAAGTGAGAAATGTGAGGGTGGGGAGCGAGATTTGGGAGAGTGGCGAGCAAGATCTGAAAGAGGAGAACAAAAATCTATGTATTTATATAATTTTTTCTGCTTTATACAATTAGAAATAA